GAGGACAGTTGGGGGGGGACCAGGCTTATAGGACGGGGCAGTTGGGGGGGGGGGGTCCAGGCCTGCAGGCGAGGGCAGTTAGGGGTGACCAGGCCTGTAGGGCAGAGCTGTTGTGGGGGGAGGACAGGCCAGCAAGGGAGGGAGTTAGGGATGACCAGGCTGGCAAGGGAGGGCAGTTAGGGGTGATTGGGCCAGCAGGAGAGGCCAGTTGGGAAGGACAAGGCCTGCAAAGGAGGGCAATTGGGGGGGATCAGGCCTGCAGAGGAGGGCAGTTGGGGGGGGGGCCAGGCTTGCAGGGAAGGGCAGTTAGGGGTGACCAGGCTGGCAGGGGAGGGCAGTTAGGGGCAATTGGGCCATCAGAGGAGCAGTTAGGAGGTGATCAGGTTGGCAGGCAAAAACGGTTAGGGGCAATCAGGCAGGTGAGCAGTTGGGAGCCAGCAATCCTGGATTGTGAGAGGGATGTCCAAATGCCTGTTTAGGCCTGATCCCAGTGGGCAGTTGGACATCCCTGAAGGGGTCCCAGATTGGAGAGGGTGCAAGCTGGGCTGAGGGACAACCACCACCTTGCACAAATTCCGTGCACTGGGCCTCTAGTTTTAAAATAGTTTTCTAATGAGGTTATGTCCAATTTAACAACAACAACAAAAAGAAATGAAGATGTTAACTAAAATAAAATTAGAGGAAAAGCACCAAAATCAAGCTGATCCCAAGGTAATAAGAGGGTGGGGGGACTCACACTTGGAGATTTCATTATGGCAAATAGCAACACAATTTTTAAAAGGTCTTTACAATGAGTACTAGGTACATTTAGATGTCTCAACCAATGAGAATCTTTTTTTCACACCCATTTCAAGTAAAATGTCAAAGTTACTTTTGAAGATTGTTTTCTACATTATTTCCTCAGATAGAAATTCTTAAACTTCTCAGGTTAAGAATAAACCTTTCTTCTGAAAGTAGTCAATGAAGCTTCACTTATGAATTAGTGAGCCTTCACAAAGGATAAGAACAAATCCACAAATGTTATTACAAAACAACTTCTCACTGCATACAATCAACATCTGTAAAAATTATCATTTGGATTCTTTCTCCCTAATTGTGCATTTTCCTATGACTCATCATACATGGATAGTTTCCAAAATGTGGGGAAAGTCTGTGTGGCCCATGACCACCAAAATTTCAGAATCTAATAAGGTTGCTCCCTTATGGACATAAAGAAATGTTATGATTACCACAAACTCTGTTAGAGCCAAAAAACTTAACTTTTTCAATATGATTCCTACATTTGATAGTGCCAAGAAAGCCTTTCTGCTAGTGTTTTTTTGTTTGTTTGTGTTTTGTTTGTTTTTTTCCTGAGGGTGGTGGTAGAAGTGATTCTTTTGTAATAACCTGGTTATTATTTAACAGCAAAGGAGTAAAAGGAAAGACTGTATATAGGCACATCGTTGATACAGCTTTGGGAAAAAGCTGCATTTAACAATCTCCAAGTCTATTCCCTGCTGATTGATGGGGAAGGTACTAGACAAAGGCAGTTTAGAGGTATGCCCAGTAAGAGCTGAGTGACAGAGGAAGCTAACTGCGCATTAATCACACCTGGAAACAGGTATCTGGCCAGGATGGCCATGGCCACTTCAAGTGCACAATACCTAAATATTTACAAAATACATCCAGAGACATAGAAACATGGAGCAGACTGATGAATCTCAGAGTGGATGGAGGTGGGTGGGAAGAGATTAAGCAAAGAACTTATGTGTACATATGAATAACCCATGGACACAGACAACAGTGTGGTGAAGGCCTGGGGTAGGAGCAGGCTAGATGGGGAAGAAAAGGGAACATGTGTAATACTTTCAACAATAACTATGAGTTAAAAAAAAATAAATGACGAAACTATTTCAAAATAACCACAATACCACTATCACACCTAAAAATACCTAATTATTTAATATCAAATATCTCATGTTCAAATGTCTTCAACTAACTTAAGCACCCAAATGTAATGCAAATGCTGAAATGATATTAAATTTCTTTTACTTGGAACAAAATTTGAATATTTAAACTTCTAAATAAAGAAGTGAGACCTTGCTTTCACATGCTGGCCCTCTTAGGACTCCTGCTGCAGTGGGGCTGTGCTTCCTTTGTGCCAGGAGCTGGGCTCCACATATGGACTAATGGACCCAAATGCTTATCCATTTAGGTCCAACATGGAATGAAAACTCTAGACACTAGTCTTATTTCTGACTTGACTGAGCTCCCAGATGCACTTCTTCCAGGACTGGCTTAAGGGGTAGGGGACTTTGGAACCTAAGAAATTTAACTCAATGCCAATAAAGCCTCTTTCCACATTCCATCCTTCGATGGGGCTTCTGAAAATGCTTCTTTCAGCAATGCCCCAAGGTATGTATGGTAGTAGAAGTCAGATGATATACTATATCCTATATAAAGTAAACTTATAGAAATTATTTTTAAACATAGAGATAGCAGGAAGAAAATAAAGCACATGAAGTACAAACAATAGAGCTCCTATCATCATCACCATCATGCCTTAACAATTTGACATTAATTTTGAATAGCGATACAGCAATTCATGTTTAAAAATTAATAAATTTAGATTCCACATTCAATGTTCGTTAGTGATAATGAAGAATGGATTTGAAAACATCTCACTACCTCTTATTCCTAAAAGAAAAATGTTGCTGATTACGTTTGGTGATAGCATTTAAATTTTCTTCTTCCATGTATTAGTTTAATAACTCAATTTATTTTTACAATTCACATGCAATTTAAACTTTTACTGATAAATTGCTTAGTTGGCACATATCACATATTTTACATTAAAATTAAATAATTATTAAGAATATCAATTAACAATGATTCCTTCTTTCTTGCCTATGAATAAACTATCTTTAGAAATTTGAAAGAAAATGTTTACAATGTATCTGGAACTTGCTGCTGACTCTCTTTGCTAAGAACTACAACTCACCAAAAAATCTGTTCCCTCAGCTTAAGTCACAGTGCTCTGAAAGATTGTATCTATCTGTTGTTCAAAGACATAAAGAAATTAATAATATGGAAGAAATATATGCTTTATGTATATGTCTTCATTAAAAAAGAAAATACAAACTGGAAGCATGCTAAGAAAAACAAGCATGCTAAGAAAAAGTGTGCTTAACTAAAGAGAAAAAACATATAGGCATGTAATCTAAAACAACTAAGTCTTTAACAATCACCCCAGTTAAAAAAATAAAAATTAGTTCTACTTAATAACATCTTTAATCATTAATCGGGCTGGCCCTGATTAAATTCACAAACTAGGCCACTCTCCTTATGTGCACATTTAGCAACTCTCACTGAACGCAGATCTCTACTTTCAGAAACAACATGGTGTAATTTAGTTGTAGCTCCAAAGCCCATTCTTTTTTCCTCTATGTCATGAATGGGAAGATATATCAGCCACTGTGGTGTAAGTAACTTTATATATATTATCCCATGTATTCCTTACACACACTAAAAAATGAATTATCATACCAAGGGTCACATATGTTATATTTGGCAGAGGCTGCAGTGTCTGATTCCAGGTAGGCCTGGCTCCAAAGCAGTGAGAATCTGTAATTCTCATCTCTTTTTATTATTATATTTTTTATTTTTCATCTCTCTTTTAAAAACAGAAAACTGTTCCCATTTTTAGACTCTTTTCTAAATTAATAAAGATAATGAAGATTCACAAAGTATTTATTTTTTATTATTTTTACTTTAGAAAGAGAAACACTGATGTGAGAGAGTTGTCTCCTGTACTCGTTCTGATTGGGGATCAAACCTGCAACCCGGGTATGTGCCCTGACCGGGAATTGAACCTGTGACCCCTTGGTGCACAGGATGACGCTTCAACCATTTGAGCCACACCAGCCAAGGCCACAAAACTTCAAAAGCCAATATAATACTAAAGCTAAATCAGAGATTAAAAGATGGACATCACAGCCAGTTTTCTTTAGGCTAGGAAAAATTCAGAATCAATAATCAAACAATAAAAGCTAATATATGATCAATATCAAGAAGAATGTGCCTGTAGTATCCCAGGTCAGACTGGTTTTTCTTGCTTTGTGTGTGTATGTATTTTGTATCTCTCAACCAAAACAGGCATTTCAACTACAACTCTGTAAAAACCAAATGAACAAGTATAGGCAAGTATGTGGCATGGTAAATTTATAATTTTCCTTATTCCTTGGTTTACCATGGTATACTGAATTAACTAATAATGCAGATTTATTAATATCAAAGCAGAGACAAAGACTAGCTGTAAATGGCAAGAATGTGGCTTATATATTTATATAAAAAAAGACATCCTAAAGGTTTATTACCAGATATTTTCATACTTAACCAAAAAAATGATTTGCAAATGTTTACACTAAGAATTTACTCAAATGGTTATGATGAGCCTAACACTGAAATTTAAAAATTTTAGGATTTTACAATCCAATGTTATTTCAAAAGTTCTTTTATCCAGATCATATAAATGGCATTTTTTTTAAATGGCATTTTTTTATAAAGCAAATCCTAAATTAGAAAAATCAAGATTTCTTTTACTAAACAAGAAGCATATTTTGTTAACAATTAAAAATATTTATCACAGCCAAAATCGGTTTGGCTCAGTGGTAGAGCATTGGTCTGCGGACTGAAAGGTCCCAGGTTTGATTCCGGTCAGGGACATGTACGTTGGTTGCGGGCACATCCCTGGTAGGGGGTGTGCAAGAGGCAACTGGTCGGTGTTTCTCTCTCATCGACGTTTTTAGCTCTCTATCTTTCTCCCTTCCTCTCTATATAAAAAAAAATCAATAAAAATATAGTTAAAAAAATATTTATCACAGAAAGTACCTTAGAAATAAAAGTATTTCACAAATTTAATTCTGTACTGCTTTAATTTTACCACCCAAACAATGTACACATTTTCAGTAACACACATTATATTTACCTCAAGATGGTACAAGTAAAACTGGAAACCCTACCTTGTGCTGTTCGATGGCATCTATCCACTGCTGTCTATGATCTGGATCCTGAGCACGAAGATACCAAACGCTATCATTTACACTAATATCAAATCGACATTCATCAAAATCATGGGGCTGTAGAGAAAAAAGTAGAAAATGAAAAACAAAACTAATTATATTCTTAGAAATATCACACTCTACAGCAAAAAACATAAACATAACCCATTCTGGCTGGTGGCACACTCTTGTTACTTTTGTTTTCTATTCAAGTCACTTTTTTTTTTTTTTTTTTTAAATCCTCACCTGAGTATATTTTTTCCATTGATTTTCAGAGAGTAGAAGGGAGGAGGGGGAGAGAGAGAAAGAGAAAAACATCACAAGTGACACATTGATTGGTTGCCCCATAAGCGCCCAGGAATAGAACCTGCAACTGAGGTATAGACCCTTGTATAGTACCTAAGACCCTACAGTCCACAGGCTGACGCTCTAATCACTAAGCAAATCCGGCCAGGGCTCACGTAATTTTTTGAAGATTCCTCAGATGAAGAGTACAACAAGGGTATATAGTTACCAAACACTACATGTCCTTCACCATTCCTACAAACTATAAATACATTTCAAAAAAAGAGTGTTTTTCATCAAATGCTTTTAGTTAGCTAAACTAATGGAAACATTACTAAAAGCACAATTAAAAAAAATTCAAAATAGACCAGCTGGGGTTGCTCAGTGGCTAAATGTCAACCCATGAACTAGGAGGTTTGATTTCTGGTCAGCGCACATGCCACGTTGCAGGCTCAATCCCTATTAGCGGGTGTGCAGGAGACAGCCGATCAATCATTTTCATTCATGTTTCTATCTCTCTCTGAAATCAATAAAAAAGATATTTTTTTACTTAAGAAAAAGGTCCAAAATAAGTCGTAGTAAAGACATTTATTACATTTTTCCTGCCTCCATTATCCAAAAGTAAATTCTCATCATGAAGAATTTGATTTCAATAAATGTTATAAACAAGATATTTTTACAATTTACCACAAAATAGTTAACATTTCCTCCTAAATATCTCAAATTAACTTCTAGGCTTTTATATGTTTTTGATATTAACAGTCAGGAGAGCTTTCAATGAAAAGCAAAGATAAAATGAATAATACATCAGACTTATGTTAGATAGTGGAAACTGCCTGTATCAAAACATAAACACTTAGTGAAAATGTCAACTATTTGGTTTAGTGTTTTATGTTATTCTTAAGAATGTATAAAATTAATATCTCATTTTTTTACCCAATAAATGAATTACGATATTACAGAATCATATAGCATATGCCATGACTTTTTCTACTGGATAGAGTACAGAGAATCATCAATGTAACAGAAAATTTATTTGCTGAAAATTTACTTTGCCGGTCATCTGCTCGCTCAGTCTTTTATATATATTAATAGTAGTAGCTCTGAGCAGGAATCTGTGTGCCAGTAGCTCGCTTCCACCCTCCAGTAGCTCTCCATCTGCTGCCCTGTCCTTCTGTAGATCCCCCCTCATAGCTCTCTGCCCACTGCCCCGCCCTCATGTAACTCCCTCTGCCCCCTCCTTTAGCTCTCCACCTCCTGCTTGTAACTTGCTGCCTCACCCTCCTGTTGATCCATGATGTGGTTGTTACTTGGTTGGTCATGAAGCTTCATGGTGTAACAGCCATTTACATATTACATCTTTATTATATAGGATAGGTCCTATATAATAAAAGCCTAATATGCAAATTGACCAAACAGTGGGACTTCTGGTTGCCATGATGTACACTGACCCTCAGGGGGCAGATGCTCAACACAGAAGCTGCCTCCTGGTGGTCAGTGCACTTCCACAGGGGGAAAACTGTTCAGCCAGAAGCTGGGCTCACAGCTGGTGAGTGCAGCGGTGGTGGCAGGAGCCTCTCCCACCTAAGGAGCAGCGAGCCGAGCAGTGAGGTGAGTGGTACAGAGTGAGGGGTCCCGGACTTCAAGAGGGTGCAGGCTGGGCTGAAGGAGCCCCATCCCCGCCAGTGCTCCAATTTTGCGCACCAGGCCTCTAGTTTGGATGGATGGACGGATGGACGGATGGATGGTAGGTAGGAGGTAGTGTGTGTTAAAATGATACAAAAGGAAAAAAAAACAGTGCATACCCTGTTCAATAATTAGAACACAGAAATATATAAAAGACATTTAATATCCATAAGTATAATGACTATAAATTTAACTGAATGCCAAATATTCAGAAATCTTAGGAATAGAGTTGAGTCATTAAGAAAGCTTCTTGGAAGAAGGGAAGCATATATACTATCTGAAGAACAAAGCAAAAATTTAATCAGTTTACTGTCGTAAGTAGCCCAAGGATCTGCTTTCATTCACTATTATATTGTCTGCCTTTTTAATAAATCTATGTAAATAGAACCAGATATTACATATTCCTTTATGCTCCACTGTCTTTATTTAGTATAACAATTTTGAGACTCATCCATTTTGTTGTGTCTCAAATTTATTAATACTCAATAGGTGCAAATGGGGCTAAAAAGAGGGCAGGAAGTGTATAAGAATTACAGCAATAGTTCTTTAGAAAAAATATAGTATAATTACATTTTCTATTCAGTTGTAATTCCATGATAATACATCCCACTCAACCGGAACTGTGGTACTACCAAAATTCACCCTAGCATGTTCTTTAAAATTCTTTAGATTATTTCTTAAAATTTCTGAGTTTTCCTGATATTTGTTTACTCCAATATCCTGATCATAATGGTATATATTTCAGAGAAGTTCATAAAAATCATAAGGTCTAATAACTACCAAAAAAAAAAAAAAAAAAAGTTGAACAGAATACATACTCCATGGATTATACAATTTTAATAAAGATAGTGTATGAAAGAAAGATTAACGTGACTATCTTTAAATTGTATGGTTAGAACTAATTGCCTTAATTTGTTTGCCTATACTATATTTTTCTATAAATCACATGTAATATTTTTGGTACAAAAGTGCTGACATAAATGTGGAAGGAGTTTGTAAAGTTGAAAAATCACCATTTTGTCAATTATAGAAAAGATTGGATGGGGTAGGTGCCATAAATAGTTGAAAAATCAAAGGCCCTCTTCACTGATCTCCAGACGTTCACTCATTTACCTCCTCTAATGTTTTTCTTAAATGCCTATGATGCATCTCAATTTATCTAAAACTGATCTGATATACCTCCCTCCCCAAACTTCTCCTCTTGCAGGCTTTTGAACTTTCAGAAATGGTAACTACCAACTGCTTAGACTCGAAATCATCTGACTCCTCATTTTTCACACCCTATAAGAAATCCACCAGCAAATCTGCAAATCTTGTCAGCTCTATCTTCAAAATGAATCTGGAATCCAATCATTTCTCATAATCTCTACCATTACTAGTCTGGTCCAAGCCACTATTATCTTTCACTTGAATTATCTGCAATAATCCCCTAAGGCTGTCTGATTCTGTTTTCCTACTTCCATCCCGGCAGTTGTGACTCACAATATATTTCTACTGAACAATCATGATCTAAACCATTCATTTACTTATCTATGTAAATAACTAACCAATGACATATTTATGAACACCTATGATTTACCAAGCACTATTCAAGGAGCTGAGAATACAGTGGTGAGGATGAACTGCTATGATCCTTAACTTTGCAGAGATCACAGTGACCAAATAATCACACATAAAATGTAAAACTTCAAATATAACAAGCCATAGTTAAGAAAGGTACACCATGTTGAGAAAGCCTATAATAAAAGGAAGTAACCTAATCAGGGGAAGGCTTCCAAGAAATAATACTACAGCCAAGGGAAGGATGAAATGAAATGAAATGAATAAAGAAGGAAAGAAAGGGAAACATTCAGCATGTAACCTAGTTGGAATGGCTAAGTTGATTGAACATCCTCTTTGGTAAAGCATCCACTTTCCTCCGATCAAGGAAAATACATGGGGTGTAGGTTCAATTCTCAGTTGGGGCACATAGGTTAGGCCCCTGGTTGGCAAACTGCAGCTCGCAAGCCACATGCGGCTCTTTGGCCCCTTGAGTGTGGATCTTCCACAAAATACCATGGCCTGGGATAGTCTATTTTGAAGAAGTGATGATAGAAGAAGTATAAGTTTAAAAAATTTGACTCTCAAAAGAAATTTCAATCATTGTACTGTTGATATTTGGCTCTGTTGACTAATGAATTTGCCAACCAATCAATGTTTCACTCTCTCCCTTTCTCTCTCTAAGCAAGAACTGGGGGGAGGGAGGAGAGAAGAGGAGTGCATGTAAAAATCTAGGAGCTCAGCCGGTGTGGCTCAGTGGTTGAACGGGGAGGTCATGAGGGCATGCAGGAGACAGCTGATCAATGATTCTCTCATCAATGGTGTATCTTTTTTTCTTTTCTTTTCTTTTCTTTTCATTATCCTCACCAGAGGATATTTTTCCATGGACTTTTAGTGAGTTGGAGAGAGAGGGAATGCCAGAGAGAAACACTGATGTGAGAGAAACACATCAGTTGGTTGCCTCCTACAGGAGCCCTGACCAAGACTCGGGTTGGGAAGGAGCCTGCAACCAAGGTACATGCCTTGACTGGAATAAAACCTGGGACCTTTTGGTCTGCAGGCTGATGCTCTATCCACTGAACCAAACTGGCTAGGTCTCATCAATGATGCTTCTCTCTCTCTCTCTTCTGGAATCAATAAAAATAAAAATATATTTAAAAAAAAAAGATCTAGGGCAGGAAAGAGCAAGCCTAGATAAGATCCCAAAAGAGGTATATAGCATGATTGGAGGTGACACAGTGAGAGGGAGTCTGCTGGAGATGAGAGTTAAGAAGGCAGGCCCTGGCAGTCACCTAAGCAATTAGAACGACAGTCTGCCCATCAAAGGTTCAATCCCTAGACTTGGCCTGGGCACGTTCAGGAGGCAACCAATCAATGTGTCCTCTTATACTAATGTTTCTTTCTCTCTTTCCCCCTCCCTCCTGCTCTCTCTAAAAATCAATGAAAAAGCCTGGCAGGCGTGGCTCAGTGGTTGAGTGTTGATTAATGAAACAGGAGGTCATGGTTTGATTCACATGTCAGGGTTGCAGGCTCAATCCCCAGTAGGGGGCATCCAGGAGGCAGCTGATCAATGATTCTCTCTCATCATTGATGTTTCTTTTTTTCTTTTCTTTTTTTTAAAAATATATTTTATTGATTTTGTACAGAGAGGAAGGGAAAGAGATACAGAGCTAAAAACATTGATGAGAGAGAGAGTCATCGATCAGCTGCCCCTTGCACACCCCCCACCGGGGATATGCCCGCAACCAAGGTACATGCCCTTGACCGGAATTGAACCCGGGACCCCTCAATCCCCAAGCCGACGCTCCATCCATTGAGCCAAACTGGTCTCGGCCATTGATGTTTCTATCTCTCTTTCTCCCTCTCCCTTTTTCTCTGAAATCTATAAAAATATATTTCTAATTTATAAAATGTCTTAAATATATTTGCCAGTAAAAGCCTGTTTCTAGAGGTTATAAAATGTCTTCATAAATTGCCAAGCTAAAGAATGCTAATTACTTATTAATTTTCATTAGAAATTTAAGTTTTAATGGTTAAAAAATTATTAATTTTCATTAGAAATTTAAGTTTTAAGGGTTAAAAATCTCAATATATGTAGGAAAAATGTCTAAGGTATAGCGTATGGGAAAAAATGGTTGTAAATTAAACAAAAGTCAGGTCTATGAAAAACCAAAGATGACTGCCGGGTTCTCCCCTGCTCTCTGGTTCCCCATTTCCCAGCTTTTGCATTTCTTCATGCATCAATTATCTTTAAACTAGAGTTAGAAGAAGGAATTTAAGAGCTGACATTACTGAAAAAAGACATCTTATATCATTGCCAAGGTTTGATAAGAGTCACTTCAAGAAAATGCCAAGTTGGTAATACCTTCTTTTCACAGGTAGCTCCCAGGAGACAGACACTTTAAAGATCAGTTGACTGCCACCTTGAGATTGAAGACAGCATCAAATAAAATACACTCTCCAACCTCATTGGATGGGATCTTATCAGGCTCTGAGTTGTAAATGGACATCTTACTCCTGTCTACAGAAATCAAAGACTCCTTGAGGAAAAGAAGCTGCCAATACCAGAGGTAGACAACTATACCAAGACATCAATAAGGTCCAGATTGATACTGAACTCAGCAAACATTTTATTATCTTTACCTGATTGCTAATGATATTAGTCACAATAATATATTTTTTGAGTTTCTCTATATAGTCAAACTATTTATGATTACTAAACATGTGTAAGATAATTGTTAATATTCTTTTCATGACTTATGTAAATGTTATACTAGATGCCAAACATAAAAAAGTGACAGAAACTCGGATCATAATATTCCACAGGATAGAAATGATTCAGGGTGTATATTTTACTCAATGAAGGCCATTAAAATCTTGAGACAGCATGGGGACTTGGGCTTTGGATCCCAAAAATGCCAGATAAGAAAAAATGTAGCACTGGCATCACCCTGCTGCCCGTTACCTTATCCCAAAGACCCCAGTTAGCCACAAGAAACACCAATAAGCCAACCATAAGAATGTCACCAACCCTCCACTTTCTGGCTCTCCCACTCCCATGAAAGCAGAATTTTACCTCTAACTACTTGCTTCTCCAACCCCACATGGAAAATTCTATAAGCCCACCTTTTTTGCACAAAGCCATTTTGTCCTCAACTTATAAAAGCAGCCAAGCAGAGACAAACCTTGGAGCCAGTTCAGAGAACCTTCCTTTCCCCTTGTTGCCTCTCTTGAGCCTACACTTAATAAAAATCTGTCTGGAAATTTCTCTAAGGTTTCCTCTTGATGTCTACCTTGGGAAACCCAAGAACTCTAATACTGGTAACATGCCTTCCATTTTGGGGGAAAATCTGACTCCCATGGTTTTGGTATTGCCCAATCCCCAATGAACAATATGCCCTTGATACTGAGACTTTCTAGGAATAAGCCTTCCCTAGTACTGTGAATGCATCCTTCAGATTAATATATGACTAAGGGGAAACTGGAAAAAAGGAAAAAAGAAAAGAAAATAACCTCACAGGGTGATTTGATTATAAATAAATTTGTAACTAGGGAGGTCATGTGGTAGCCATGACCCGACATTTAACTTATTTATTAAATAAGTTAGTAAAAAGTTTACCTATGCTTTAAGTAAGCACTGCCCATTGTTTCTGTGCATCTAGGTTAAAACCCTTTGAAATAACCACCCTGAAGAGAGCACAGAATCTTCCTATCAGTTAACCCAATTCCTGTCTTGCTTTCTCCCACCTCCATGTAATCTTCTTCCTTACTTTCCCTCCTTAATTTCAAATGCATAAAAGAAATTGCAAAACCGTTATTCTCAGGAAGCATTTGAGACCTTGCTTCCTGGCCTTCATTCCATGTATTGTCAGTTTGGCTCAAATAAATTTTTATAAAAATTAAAGAAAAGAACAAAACAACCACCAAAGTTCTGTGTGCAAATGTAAGTGTAATAGTATCAACATAAAATCTACAAAAAAATAGTTTTTGAGCAGATGCAATGTAAATATTCATTAAAAATTTTCCTTTGCCCTGAATAAGCAATGCACTATTACCATTGTCCATAATTCAAGATAGGATAACTATATTTAAATCTACATAAACTAGCATGGTACTCGAGAAATACTACTACTTAGTAAACAATAAAGATAAAATTTCATTCCTTCCTATTTATACATCAACTATCAACATACTATTTTCAAAGAGTCAAATATGTACTTAACAAACATGTGGCAATATGCAAAAAGGAGGGGAGGAACCTAGAAAAACATGTCAAGAAAGTATATTTCTATGTACTATTCTGTGTTCTAGCATGGATAATGTTCTACCTTAAGAAAAATAAAACCTCCAAATAATAAAATAGTTTCAAAATATAGTATAATGTACCAAATGCCAGTCAAAATAAATAAGCATTTACATTTAAAATATTTCTTTAAAAAAAATATTTTTTATTGATTTCAGAAAGGAAGGGAGAAAGGGAGGGAGATAGAAACATCAATAACGAGACAATCACTTATTGGCTGCCTCCTGCATGCCCCACACTGGGAATAGAGCCTGCAGTCTGGGCATGTTCCATGACCAGGAATCGAACCATAAACTCCTGGTTCATAAGTTGACTCTCAATCACTGAGTCACACCAAACGGTCTTAAAATAGTTCTTTAAAACTGTCCCTAAGAATGGAGAGCACTAGTTTCATTCTTAATACTTCCAAACAATTCCTCTATAGGTTTTTCTATCTCAATATTCAAGTAAGCTTTTGTTTTCAAACTTGGAATATCCAAAGGAGGAGAATGTATAAAAATAAAGGAAAAATATTACAAAATTTTTCTTAAATGTGTAAAATAAACATATGTAAGTCAGATTTAGATATCAAAACAGATCCAAAGAGCTTTCTACTTTTGTAAGCAATATAAAATCTATAATAATGTGAATTGTCTTTGAATATATTAGTAAAATCTATGATTAAATTTTAACATACCCATTTTCAGATTTTAACTACAAACTCTTTCTTCATTGACCTGCATGCAATTAACCTGTTTTAACCAACACTTTTTTTCCTCTTTAATCAATACACCAAGGTATGCTGACCACTCTCAATTTGTATACTATTTTTAGTATATTTAGGCACTTCTGATCCCACTAGTTGAGATACATGTTTAACAGGTCTGTTGGTTGTTCCAAAACCTTATTATGCCAGTTTACTTGTTGTACTTCTTACATAACTAAGTAAACATATGTAAGAATATGAAATATAAGTATAAAAAAAGGTTTGTTCCTACATAAACTAAGTTGAGTGTAAACTAAGTAATTACTCAGTAAAGGTGAGTCAGTTCTTTAAAAAGTATTGAATTATATAAAGATAAGACATCTGTAAAATATTAGAACAAAATCATTAAAAGTCAGAAAGAACCTATATTTAGAGTTTTTAAAAAGTATCTTTAAGCTTTTATTCTATTTTAGAGATATCGAAACTGGAAATTACAAAGCATGCATTATGGATATAGTTTACACATGATCAACTTCTCTCAACTCCACACTCAAAGACATGGTGTTATCTATACATAAAATTTTTGGTAAACATAGATTTATACATTTTAAGTTAAAATGCCAACATATGTATTTTTATTTTTTTGTTAATCCTTACTCAAGGACATTTTTTTTTCATTGCCCTTTAGAGAGAGTGGACGGCAGGTAAGGAGGGGAAGACAGAGAAAAACATCGATGTGAGAGAGACATCACGTATGTCCCAACCAGGGTCAGGGATCAAACCCACAAACCAGGTACATGTCCTTCATCAGGAATTGAACCCAAGACCCTTCAGTGCACAGGTGGACATTTTAATCATTGAGCAACTTGGCCAGGGAAAGGTATGCATTCTTTTAATTTCCTGCTTTACTGTTTTTAATAAACTACCAATCTCAATGGACATGAAACCTTCTAACATCCTTTTTTTCTGAAGGCCTTCCTTAAGGGCTTGCTATACCAACTAGATAATTATTACATGTTTATATAAAATAATAGTATGTAGCAGTAAACACTCTAAATGGGGGGAAAAAGTATTAGACTATATACTCTACAAGGGCAAGAATCTTTACCTATTTTGTTCACAGATGTATACAATGTAGGTAGAATAGTTTCTGGTGTATAGTTGATGCTCAATAAAAGTATCTGTTTAATGAAAGAGAATAGAAACTTACCGTGATGACAGCCTTGCTAAGACAGATGGATCCTCTGCAGCCATACTCTGTCTCGTCTTCAGATTTGTAGTAACTCAAAGTATTATTTTTCATAACTACCCAACGATCTTGCCACCCATGAATGTAGTTTGTCCACTGGGAATAGAAGAAAGGCAGGGGGGAGGAAAACAAAAAAACAACAAGTCAGTATTTTAGAAATCCAAACTTTCTGAAATAGCAGTCAATCTAATTTTAAAACCAAAATGTGAAAAGTTCTAACGTAATAATAATTAGTAAAAATGATTACAATCAGTGAAAAGTTGATATTTTCCAAATTGTATAATGGTTTTCAGTAATTTTTAATAAGATTATACATAAAATAGATCAATAAAATATAATGTTCCTCTAACATCTGAGGAATAAAATAGAAGCAGATTTTATTTTAAAATTCTGCTTTGCCTCTTACCAGGCTGGTGTGGCTCTGTAGTTGAAAGTCAACCCATGCACCAAGACATCACTGGTTTGATATCTAGTCAGGGCACATGCCTGGTTGCAGGCTTGATCCCCAGTAGGGGGCATGCAGGAGGCAGTGATGTTTCTCTCACTGGTGTTTCTATCTCTTTCCCTCTCCATCTCAAATCAATAAAAACATATTAAAAAATAAAATAAAATTCTGCTTTGCCTCTGCACAGCAAAGGAAACCAACAAAACAAAAAGGCAACCAATCCAAATGGTAAAGATATTTGCAAATGATACTTCCGATAAAGGGCTAATATCTAAAATTTGGACAGAAGTCATATAACTCAATAACAACAACAAAAAATCCCACAAACAATCCAATTAAAATGAACAGAGGATCTGAATAGACATTTTTCTAAGAAGACAAACAGATGGTCAATAGGCATAAGAAAAGATGTTCAACTTCACCAATTATTAAGGCAATGCAAATCAAAACCACAATAAGATATTACATCATACCCATTTGATAAACTATTATCAAAAAGATAAAAAATAACAAGTGTTATAGAGGTTGTGAAGAAAAGGGAACCTTCTTGCTCTGTTTGAGATTGTAAATTGGTGCAGTCCCTATGAAAAAAAGTATGGAGGTTCCTAAAAAAATTAAGAATAGACTACCATATGGACCAGCAATTCATATTCTGGGTATTTATCCAAATATGAAAATACTATTTTGAAAAGATATACATTCCCCTATGTTCATTAAGGTATTATTTACAACACCAAGATATGGAAACAAGCTAAGTGTCCATTGATGAATGAATAAAGATGTGTGTGTGTGTGTGTGTGTGTGTGTGTGGTGGTGGTGGTGGTGGTGGCGGCGGCATGTGCACTTGAGCAATACTCAGACATAAAAAAATGAAATATTGCCATTCTGACAACATGGATAAATCTTGAAGGTATTATGCTAAGTGAAATATAATCATATAGAGTGGAACATAACAAAACCCATATGATTTCACTCATATGTGGAATGTCAAACAGAAAAGTAACGAACTAACAAAAGAAAACAAAAACAAACTTACAGATACAGACTGGTGGTTCCAGAGGGGAAAGGAAGTGGTGAGAAGGTGAAATGGGTAAAGAGGGTCAAATATATGATAAAGGATAGAAATTAGACTTTTTGATGGTGAGCATGCAATGGAGTACAGAAATATTAAATTTCAGTTGTATACCTGAAATCTATATAATGTTATTAAACAATGTTACCTCAATAAGAATTTTTTTAAAGTATACTTTGCTCTTTGTGTGCCTTCATCTTCCCTTCCTCACCACCTCATGGCTCTCAAATTATTTTGGTCCCTGCTACAATTAAAATATTCAATAGAGCCGAAACCGGTTTGGCTCTGTGGATAGAGCATCAGCCTGCGGATTGAAAGGTCCCGGGTTCGAATCTGATCAAGGGCATGTACCTTGGTTGTGGGCACATTCCCAGTAGGGGATGTGCAAGAGGCAGCTGATCGATGACTCTCTCTCATTGATGTTTCTAATTCTCTATCCCTCTCTCTTCCTTTCTATAAAAAAAAACAATAAAATATATTTTAAAAAAAGAAAAAAAGCTATTCAGTAGAAATGTAAGTTTGGTTACACAATCTCCTACACCAAGTACTGCATGAAATCTTTTTTTTCCATTTTTTTAATTAAGGTATTATATGTGTACATATCTTACCATTGCCGCCGCCCCCCCCACTCCTATACAAAACCCATATAATTTCACTCATATGTGGAATGTCAAACAAAATGCCCTCAACCCCCCCCCCCCCCCCGTGTTTTACGTCCATTGGTTATGTGCATGAGATCTTTTAAATCAACACAAGTATGAAGCTATTTATGGCCAAAACTGTACTTTTGTTGTAAGTTATTCCTAAAGGAATACTAAATTAATCTTTATTAAGTCTATGTCAATTTTATTTTTTTTCCTCTACAGAACTTAACATTTCATATTTAAGACAGTTAATTCTTTTTCCAAGTTTCTTTGAAGATCTATTTTTCAAACCCGAAAGCAATATAAATACAAAACTGGTTTTTCAAAAACATGCTTGGATTATCTGTTTCCAGCACCTAAAAATGGTTTCTGTGTTGCTAAAGTTTTGCTGCACACTGAAGAGCACAATCAATAAACTTGAAATGGCAGAAATATAACCTCTATGGGAATTCTTGATTTTGCTTATTTTCATGTTCTGGGGTTTTAAATATAGACAATTCCAAAATTGCCAAAAACAAATTCAAGATTGTTAAAAATATATATACTGCATTGGCTCAGGCTCTTTACCCATTGAGAAATCTTTACTTTCCTATTCCCTAACTCAGCATGTTTAAGATAGGGCTTAAATCTTTGAAGCCCCATCATTACAACTCCTCATTGAGCGGTCATCCATGCTGTCAATTTAACTCATTATTTTCTAAGGGTTCACTAATTATCATTGCCTTATTATTATTTTTTTAATTCCCTATGACTTACCACCACTTATATTGAAAGTTGAAATGATTCTTACATACAAAACTCAATTCACCTTCTCTCTTAAAGGTAGACTTTCTCCCTAAGTTCCCATTTCCTTGACTTCTGGACTATTAGTCAAAGACTATTTCCTTGACTTCTGCAGTCATTTAGACACAAACCTAACTGAGGGTTTGTATATTGTTTGTATATCTGTATGGATACAGAATCAGAGATTCAATTACTTTACTAGTTATAATGAGGAGTTTTGAAAAGTTACTTTTCTGAGCTTCAGATTCTTTGTTATTTGAATGGCTGAATAAAATATGACAACACCTACTATATTTATAGGAATACTCAATTCCCAAGTGTTCCTTTTCAGTCTTTATAGCCTATTACTAACTTCTATTCATCTTTCTTACATATTAAACCTTTAAGTTTGGCTACTCTTCTGTGTTTTTAATTAATCCAATTAAGTTAGATTCCTAGATTTCTGAAAAGGCTTAATAACCTTATCTCTAGTATCTTCTGCTTTTTATTTCATAACTTAGGTAATCTTATTTACTTATTAAGCATATCTGCTTACTTATCTTACATATTAATCTCACTGAATGCGCAGCTCCGAAACTTACATGAACAATTTCAAATTGCCTACAACAAATTGTTTGGACTGGCAATCTTAATGCACTTCACTTTCAATTATTGCCCTTCAGAAGACTAGTAACTGTGTGACTATGGTCAGGTTACTTATCCTATTTCTCTGTCAAAATCGACTTCAGAATTATTAAGACAAAGTAAGAAGAGACTTAGAACATTGCTAAGCATATGGCATTTTCTAAGTTGGAAGCAGTTAAGCATAGCTAACGAGCACAGCTCACCTCTTCCAAAGCGACAGAAGAGCCCCTAGCAATTTTGTGTTCACAATTTCATATCATTTCTTTTTAGAGGACCCAATAAAGTACATACTAAGCCTCAGGACCCTTTAGTCAGTAATGTTAAACTATTATCATACCTAGAAGGCATATTTTTGTCTTTCTCTACCCTCATAAAGTATTTCACTTGTCCCTGTTTAACAAGTAGAGAAAAGGCAATATACTAAACACCACAAAAGAATCAAAGATTTCTGATCCCAAGCTATACTTTCAAAAGGAAAAAGAAATCTACATTTAAAGTAAAAAGAATCAAGTTACAAATAAAATGCTATGGGAATCCAAGGGAAGGAGAACTGGAATGGCTGGTAAAATAAAAGAATAACACCAAAACCTATATTCCTGTTGATCTAAGTATGCAGAAACACTGAAGTTATTTACCTACCACAGTAGTCAAATACATTTCTACACATTTAAATATCAAAGAGACAAACTTCCATTTTTTCCCATATTTCCATACAGTATGCCTACTATACTACTCTGAATACTCAGAGCACTAGTGACTCCATTAGTCACTCTAATCCCCCCAAAATGATCAATAGATTAAAAGTACAGCTTGTTTTGTCAAATACTTAACCACACTACAAAACTAATTTTAAAGACTGCTTCTCATCTAATGAGAAAAGCAATGAAACTACCAGAATCACTCAGAAGCAAAGAGCTCATTTCATAAGAATTCCATCTGAAAATTTATACCTATTACAAAATGAATTCAATACAGAATCTTAAATTACAAGATACAGTTAATCTAGAGAAACCCCAGAGAGCTTCACTTTACTGAAAACCTGTCACTGCAATTCCAATAATGAGCACAATATCAACACCCACCATAATTTTTCTGCTATGCAAATAAGAGTTAACACTTGTTAAGCCTTTGTTCTGATATATTCATGCCTTTCTTAGGCCTTTTCTCACTAGCTTTCTAGACATTATAAACACCTAATATGAAACCATTCCAAATGGTGTCCAAATGCTTAGCCAAAGTACGTATACTGGAAGCAGGGTGATTTCTTAATAGCTGCACATGACCTAGTATCTTATGACCAGCTTGTTAAGAGACTCGCCCCAGCTGCCCTCCTTTCTCCAGGTTAACTGCTGGCTCCAGCCATTTCTAAAAGTTTAACAGGAAGGGAGAGGAAATAAAAATAAAACAAAACAAAACAAACAAACAAAAAAAAAAACGCAGTGTGGATCTACTCATAACTTTAAGAAAAGGAAACAAATGGCACCACCCGCTCCCTGACCCCATACTACCAAAAGATCCCCTATTCTCCTCCTGTCTTAAAAAGAGCCTATACATGACTACTTGTTTTACTAAAATTTTGAAAAAGGGCTCTTAAAAAATGCCGGAAAGGTCCTTTCCTTACTCTGGCCCTCTGACGGCAAGAATATTTTATTAAAATAATGCTCTTCTTCCTGGATTAAAAGTCGGTCTCCATGCCAACATTTCCAAGTTACTGTGACTACGTTTTGTACATATCACGTTATAAGAGACGGAACAGGGGTAAGTGGTGAGGGGAAAAAGTGCCCAAGTCCTCCTCATTGAGATCTCTCCCTACGTCTAACTTGGCATAGTTTTCCACCTGACATTCCAGCCATCAAGTGTAGCTGCGATGGCTTCGGTTTCACAGCCACGTTCCCAGAATCCCCCAACCCTCCTCTGCTCGGCATCTCTCTGGCATCTCTCTGGAGGTCCGACTTGCACTGCTCCCATACCCAGTTGTTCTGACACCGCTGTTGCCCAACCCGGATTCCTATAGCCGGGACAGCTGCCACCCTGAGTCCCAAGTCATGGTGCGTGTCCTGCCCCCTAACTGGGTCCGGGGATGGGACACGTTTTCCTCGGTATTCGGCGGCAAGCCCCCCTGGGCAGACGAAGACGACAGTGCCCTTCTCTCCTTCCTCCCACTCCATCCCCAGGTCCGGGCACTCCCGCCGCAGAACTCAGCCTCGCACCCAGCACATTCGGCCGCCGCGGCGGCTCCGGGACAGCCCGCGCCCCCGCGCCGGCCCCACCCCGCCCCGCGCCCCCAGCGGCGCGCCTCGCGGCAGGTGAGTCCGGGCGGGCCGGGGCCGCGGCCCCGCGGGCGGCTCACCTTGCTGAGGACCCCGCAGCGCTCCACGGGCGGCCCGAACTCCGTCTCCGGATCCTCCTCCGAGCCCGACGAGTTCCAGCTCTGGTTATCCGACATGGAGGCGCGACAGGCGAGCAGGAGACCGGCCCCTGCTCCGTGAGCTCCGCCGGAGGAGGCGCCCAGTCCCCGGGGCGAGACGTCGGAGCACGGCCAAGGGAAGAGCGCCCGCTCCCGGGCCGGCGGGTGCTGGAGGGAGGACGAAGTCCGGCCCGCGCGCCGCCGCCGCTGCGCCTGACACCGAGCGGACCCGGGAAGGAGGACGAGCGGCGAAGGAAGCCTGCCCTTCCAGCCGTCAGCCGCCGCCGCCGCCGTGACCCCTGCGCTGCGACCGCCGCCGCCGCCCGCGCTCAGCCCCGCCGATGCCAATCTCAAAAGGGGAAGAAGAAGGGAAGAGAAAAAAATCCAGCTGCAGACACCCGGGTCCACTCACACCTCCGCTCCCGCCGCCATCTTCCTGCCTGGCCCACTATTTACCCTCCCCTCCCCTCTCCTCCCCGCCTTCCCTCCTCCCTCCTCCTCGTCCTCCCATTCCCCCCCTCCCACCCCGGATCCCCGCCCCGGCCCCCCTCCCAGCGTCTGACGCTGCACGTCGTGGGCATGAGGTCCCTCCAGCACCCTACCTCCGGCCCTCCCGCGTGACGCCGGGGAGAGAACTAGGAGGAGCGGAGGAAGGGGGAGGGACGGGGACGCCGCTGTACTGCATTCTGGGAAAAAGACCGGCTCCGGCCGCCGCGTTGCCTCCTGGGAGTTGTAGTCGCGATTGTGAGTCCACTGGTGAGTGTGTCGCGTCGGGAAGGCTGGTCGTCCTGGGGACGGTCGGTCCAGCCGCGGATGGGCTTCTTGGGATAATTGCGTGGCCGGTCCCCTCCGCCGCGCTTCTCTTGCTGCCTAGCGTGTTTATGACGAACCCGCCGGGCTTGGGGGCGGACGAGAGTTAAGGATGCCAGGCCTGCCTTCCATGGCGGCTTCCCGAAAGCCGGGGAGCGTTTTGCCTCTTGCCCGGGCAAGTGACCGGGACTCTTCCGCCTCCACCCAGGGCCAGGGGTTTGCCATCTCCAGGGCCAAGGGGGCTTCTTTCCGCCAAACTGCCTTTGCAGATTTGGAAAGTCTCTTTCATCTCATCTTTAGGAATGAGACTTCACACTTGACATTTCCCGCCTTTGAAGGAAACCTTTTCAGTTCCTTCTCACTCACCAGAGCAAACTCGTCACGTTGTTAGATTTCCAAGAGTTTATTTTGCGGAGAGTAACTTGGAAGGTGTCAGAGAATAAATCACGGTTTAAGAGGGTTTTTTTTGTTTTTTTGTTTTTAAGTAAAATAAGAATGTGAGGTAATTGCCTGGAGTTTTCCTTTAGTTGCAAATGAGTATATATCTCCCCGAGACTCAGGTTAACCATCTCTACCGACCTATCGATCTCTGAAAGATAGAAAAGGTTGGTATGGAAACTTTATTATAAGAATGACTCGTGTCATATAGCGTCTATTTGGCAGAGTTAGGATTTGAATACACATCTATATGATTTCCAAGACGATACCCTTTTCTTTGCTTCAGAATACTTATATAAAGAGAAGAACTGTGTAAAGAAATAACATATACTATAACTAAGTACATCAGAGTAACTATGTTCTTAATTTCACCTAAGGATTTGAACATCATTTATTTATGCTGTCCTATTTAATCCCAATGTAGAATTTATTATTTCTACTCTTTCTATGTCTGATATTTCACACGAAGAAATAACCACAGAGACGTTAAATAACCTTCATATGACTAGTAAAGACCATAGTTGCAGTGTGAGCCCAAATATTCTTATTCCAATTTTCATTTCCATCTCTCTAGAGTTCTTCATCTTCTATTTCCCTATCTTCCACCTCATCTCATTCTCTCAGCTTTTATTTCCACTCAGCACCAGTTCCAAAGCCTGCATCCTGGCCCTCTACTCCCCCTGTCAAGACACAAAAGCCAAAACAAAACAAAACAAAACAAAAACCAAACCCAAAACACCCAGAGGTGCTGGAATTGGTAAGGTTTGCAGTTTTATTGATCAGCAGGTAGAGGAATTAAGGGGACTATTTATTTGTTTCTGATGCTAGAAATATAGCTAGAGAGGATATCCCAAGTTGAAACAGAAAACACTAATTTTATAAGAAAAATAATGCTATATAATAAAAGGGTGATATGCAAATCAACCAAATGGCAGAACGACTGACTGGTTGTTACAATGCATGCTGACCCCCAGGGGGTAGGGGCTCAATGCAGGAGCTTCCCCCTGGTGGTCAATGCACACCCACAGGGGAGTGCCACTCAGCCAGAAGCTCTGAGCTGGTGGGAGCTGGCCTAAGCAATCAGTTGGACATCCCTGGAGAGGGTGTAGGCTGAGCTGAGGGACCCCGCCACCCCACTCCTCCCGCCCCAGTGCACAAATGTCATAATGGGCCTCTAGTATCCTAAATAATAAAGAGCTAGTATGTTAATTAGATTGAATAGCAGGACGACCTTCCAAACAAAGCTGGGGTTGCAAGGGCCGGCTGAGGCTGGGAGGGCTGAGCCCCTTGCATGAATTTTGTGCATCAGGCTTCTAGTAATCTATAAAAAGCCTATGTATTAGCTCAGGCTGACATACAAAATATCACAGACTAGGTGGCTTTGGCCTTTCTCCTCTTGTAAGAACACCAATCCTATCGGTTATGACTTCACTTATCCTTAATTACCTCTTTATAGGGTCTATTTCTAAATTTAGTCACGTAAGGAGTTAGAGCTTCAAATATGAATTGTGGTGGAACACAGTTTAGTCCATAACAGAGCTTAAAGGTTCTGTGTTTTCATAGTATTTTTTGTTAAATATGTGTTTTGAGTTAAGTAATCTTTGGAATTTAACTGTTTTTTTATACAGCTTTTCCAAATTGAATCATAACTGGGTTAAAAGTTAGGGGTTTACATAAGAAACATAATTTTGTAAACTTAGAAATAAAATACTAATATATGAAACATCTAAAAATCTATGAATAGCAACAATCTAAAAACTAGAGTACAAATAAGCAAAGTACAGCATGTGAATAATACAGCTGATGTTTTTTGGCCCTATTTTAATTACTTGAATAATCTGGATGGTGAAATTATGGACCACTTGAATTTTTGTCTTTATACTGTTTTGTATGAAAGAAAGAATATCTAGGTATATGTGTGTGCATGTGTATATGTATATATCACTTGTATGAGAAAAGGTAATTATAAGTGATTTTAATTAGGTAAAGATTAGTTATTCTCTCTTTTTTTAAAATCCTCACTCAAGGAGTGACAATATTTTTTCCATTGATTCTAGAGACAGAAGAGAGGGGACAAGGGAGAGACTGAGAAACATCTACTAGTATGTGATAGAGACATATGAATAGGTTGCCTGCTGGGAAACAATTCCAGCATGTAATAATTACAAGAGTTTCATCAAAAGGTTGGTGAAGCTTGGGGTGCTCAATCAGGGCTGACCCACATATGTAGTTTACCTGTTGGAATGGCTAAATGGCACTTACCCCAAACCTGAATCGGATAGTCTGCTGCCAGACAGCTTAGGACATCTAAAATCTATATGTTATTGCCTCCTGTTGGTCAAATACCTGAACAGCTGTAGGTTATTCCCCAACCTAACAATGCTTCTGTAAACCTTATCCTTTGAAGTGTATATCTCCACCTTGCCTTAGGACAATTTGTGTTAATAAATAGCATGGGGTCCTTAGTTAAGGAATAGTCTTCAGTTCCTTTAGCTGAAGCTCCTCTGACCCCCAGTGCCTTTCAAAATTATCTTTCGAACTTGGACTCCTTCTTAATCTATGCTCAGCCCCTTTCTCCAGATTGCAGAACCCTTTGTAAGGCTGGGACAAGAACCCCGGGAGTTGCCTCCTACAAGTGCCCCTATGAGGGGCAGGGATCGGACCTGTAACCCAGCTACATGCCCTTGACTAAGAATCCAACCTACCACCCTCTGGTGTGCAAGCTGGTGCTCTACCCACTGAGTCACGAGGGCCAGATCTAATTAATTTCTCCACATTCAGAGTGTTCTAAATTTTTAATTTCGAGTTGTTAATGTTCCTTATTTCCATACATTCATGATCAGAAAAATTGATGATTGCAACGTTTCTTAAGAATACCACATCATTGTCTTCAGAGTTTTTTCTCCAAGCTTTTGACGCTGATTCTTTATATTTTGATGCATAGGTAATGACAATTATGTCACAACTGCTACCTTACTGATAATAATTATCTGAGACAACCCAATTTTAGCAATGTTAAAATGTGAAAAGCCCTGACACAGTGCTTCAGTTGTTGGACCATAGAATCCCTATACCAAAAATGTTTCAGCTTCAATTTCTAGTCAAGGAACATAACTAGGTTGCAGGTTTGATCCCAGGTGGGTGTGCATGCTTGAGGCAAACAATTGGTGTTCTCTCTCTCTCTCTCTCTCTCTCTCTCTCTCTCAAGTCAATGAAAACATATCCTTAGGTGAGGATTTTTTTAAAAATGAAAAAATGTGTGTCCCTGAAGCAATGAAATATGGTTCTTCCTTTTCTTTTTTAACTGTTTCCTCATTTTCCCCCTAAGAGCACTATTTATGATTTTCAAAATATACACATATATGTGGACAGAAAGAGAGAGAGAGTCTATTTATACTATTGTAAAAAATTCCATTTTAAATTAAACAGGTAAGAGGGAACTGCAATTTTCACTCTCCTCGTTTCTCCCTTTTCCCTATATTACTATTGTTTATATGTGTTGTATATTACTATTGTCTGTTACTGTTTTCCCTCTTTTTCTATTCCTCCTCCACCATAGTAATCGATGGTGGCAGTGATGGGAATAGTTGAGTGCTCGAGCAGGTGAGAAATAGAAGCTGGGAGAATAATAAGCTCTAATGGAACTTTTGTAACATGCCTTACATCCTGCTTTCCTTGGCTCACAGGGATAGAGAAGAGAAGCTTATGTTATGCCTGTTAATAATTATGACTTCAATCCTGTTTCCCACCCCAGCATTCCAAGCACCCCCAATCTTCTCACCATTTTTTCAGGTCTTTAATTTGTATTTATATCCTGGCATCGAAGCCAGACTTGATTTCTTACATCTCAGCCTCATATTTTTATTTTCCTCCACAGGGTATCATTATGATTCTAAATGGTTAGCAGCATTAGGTTATCCATTTTATAAGAGATGGATGTTTAAGTAGGCCTGGCCATATTGCTTGCTTGCTTGCTTGCTTGCTTGCTGCTTTGTTCTGTTCCTTATCACCAACCCTCCATTTGGATTGAGAGACTCTTTAATTGCTTCAATTATTATTATTGTATTATGCTCCTACTGTCCGGACTTACTGTTACTTGATCCATAAGGTGACTTTGCATAAATTATATATCTTAGACTCCCTTGTGTGTTGATTTTTATCTTTTAACTCTCCAAGGACAAATGATACCATAATGCCCTGCATGTAGTTTCTTAAAAATATGTAATATCTCACAGAAAGTTCTAACATTCAGTATAAGACAGTGATTTCTGAAAAGGAATTTCAAAGAGCGTGTAAGCCACCCTTTTATTCCTTTTCCTGTTGGATGGAGGAGAGCCAAGCTAGGTGTGTTCCAAGCAGAAATATTCTTTTTCACTGTTGAATAAAATTGAAATTGTATTCTATTATCAGATATATCGATATCTGTTTACCTATCTA